GCTGCTTGGCCTGCTGTGTTCATCCAGCCCTGCACCTTGTTGTCTCATTAAGAAGAGGCGTTGTTCTTATTGCAGAACAATGCAGTCTCAATTTTAGAGGAATTTTTATTGATGAAGAGGTACGTAACCAGAAAAATTAAAACAGGAATCTGGAGGTGGCAAAACATGAGTACATGAATACGGGTTTCAGCACTAAAGGCGGACAGTATTGAAAGTGTGTGCTGTTCTTGATGGTTAAAATGTAGGGGGCCCATTTGTGGTGTCCCTACCTCCTGGACCCAGGAGGCCTGGGTTCAACTCCCATCTGCTCGAAAGGTGTGTAATAACATCTCTTAACAGATAGATTAGAAAAATAGGTTAAATAAGAAAGAAAAATGTAGGTCTTTGGCTCCCCTTCAGGCAAGACAAGACACAATTGTTTAGTAATATTTTGGTCTATCTAAACAATAACTGACTAGGGAGATATTATTATTTAATGGTTTTAATTGTATTTTAAAACAATCAAATGAAATGTATAAATACAATTCCTATCTTTACCCTTTTCATCTTTAATTTGTAATGCAGTCAAAGCATTTCTGGTCGTTTCATTAGAATGTATAAAAATTTAATGTGTGACAAATTGCTTAAATGTATGTTTTCGATAACTAATTTTGTTTCTGTTGATATCACTGCTATCTTGTTAGAGATCCTGTCTACCTGTATTAGCGATACTCCCAATTACACAAAAGATGAAAGTTTCTGGTGGGAAGAGACTCAGTCCTCCTCAAAATCTCTTACTCAGGTTTAAGAAAGTACAGAGTACAATGCGGACGCTGGATGCAATCGCTGGTTCGGCTAACACTTTGAATTAGTGGATCCCCCATCTGTAGTTCTTGCTATCTCCGAACACTTTATTTGTATTTGAGGTTTATTCAATTCCCGATCGTCACATGTTGTTCCCCTCACAAAGATGGCATAATTTGTGGATTTGCACCGGTTGTGCCCCGCACAATGATGGTGTCCCGACCAGGTCTCCTCCACGTCCGCGACCCTGCATCCGCTGCGGAGCGGAAGTTGAACAGGCGCTTCTTGGAGGAGACATGTCTGGGGATGCGATTGCACTGACCCTGATGCACGGTAATGGCCGGTGACTAGGCTCTGCTTCCTCTGTCAGAGGGGGAAGCGAAGGAGCCGTGTGCAGGGTCCTGCTGATGGAGGGAGCGGGCAGTCAGTGAGCACCAGGAGCTGCAGAGCCCGGGCAGGCTCTGTCTGTGTCTGCACACTCAGCCTGTCTGCATTCACTGTTAATTAGCAAAGTGAGTTGGCTTCAGTCATCCTGCAGCCCAGCCCAGCCGTTCATCTACAATAAACCTGCCATCTCAGTGATCGAGGGGCAGAGGAATCTCTGATATACCTCTTCATGGACTATAAAACACTACCTTATACTGTGATGGAGACAGATTCAATCGGGAATGATATAATTATCTGAAGAAGGAAACAAATGGTGGGGTTTCATGGAAAGGGCTGGGAGTGGAACAAAGTTGCTGCTGCAGAATTATGGACATAAAGGCCTGAATGGTCTCTTGTAATTTCTCTGAATCTGGGAGTATAATTCTGCATTTTTATAGCACGTGAGACATTGTGGCATAAGAATATGTGATGTTTAAATGTGGATAAGAAGCAGTTTGAATCAAAAGGCCTACAGCTCATTGTGTATGCTGTATGCAACAATTAAATGTAATGCAAATAGATTAATTTCATCTGTTTATTAGGATACTGCAGAGTGCCTTTTCAGAAGCAGGAATATGTTTACTGTTGGATTTATATTTCATTCTTAGGTAGTTCAAAGCACAAGATTGAAATTTCTGCTGTACAGGAAGGATGCGAACCTACATTGCAGGACATGGCAACTGTTATTGCTCAAGTTACTGGAGTACCCCAGCAACTGCAGAAACTAATCTTTAAAGGTATACATGACTTATTGGAAAGATGGGCAGTGTATGAAATAATTTATCATCCTTATTGTGACGATCTAATGGTCGTGCAACACAAAAGTTCCACAGATTTGACATATTAGATAATTTCTTGCATTACTACAATTTGGTATACTCTCAAGTCAAAAACTTGTAGCAGTCCAGTCAGTTTGTAACCTTGGTGTGATATTTGACCTGGACATGAACTTCTGATCATGTAGTTGCACATCATTGACAGGATCGGCATTTATTGCCCATTTCTAATTGCACTCGAGTAGAAAGTGGTGTGTGACCTTCTTGAACCGTTACTGTCCATTTGGCATGGACCCCCTCCAGTGCTGTTGGCAAAGGAACTCCAGGATTTTCACTTGTGACCATGAAAGAACAGCAATATCGTTCCAAGTCGGGATGGGGTGTCAGGTGAAGTTCCTATGTATCTGCTGCCATTTCCTCTGAGGTGGTACAGGTCGCCTGTTTGTATGGTGCTTCTGAAGGAGGCTTGGCAGGCTGTGGCAGTTTTTTTTGTAGATGGTATACACTGCTGACGCTGTGCTTTGGTGGAGGGACTGTTATTGAAGCCTCAGACGTCCAGGCAACTGCAAATTAATCAGTCAGACTCCTGACTTATTTTTAGATAGCTAGACTTTGGTGAGTTTGGAAGTAAATTACCTCAGATTTCCCAGCCTTTGACTTGCTCTTGCATTTGTTGTTGCTGGTCCACTTCAGTTTCTGTATGTGTCAGTAAAGAGATTGTGTCTGAGTGAGTCGTAGACCAAGTGTACTTGTTGTTCTTTTTGTAGTAGCAATGTTCACGGATAAGCAAAAAAATGGCAGGGCTTCTTCAACCTTGATGTGGGAACTCCAGGATGATGCTCGTATCCTGGATAACCATTTATGCTGCAGGTGTCATTAGTTGTAGCAGCTTAAGTTCTGGGTTTCAGAGCTACAATATGATCACGCTGCAGCTAGAAGTTATGTAGGGAGAGAGTGAATAGGTGACCACTAAGTAATCAAAAAGGAACAGGCAGATAGTACAGTTTTCAACCAATATTTAATTCTGGATACTAATATGGCAGATGGCTCTTGCAGCATTCCCCAGATGAACCAAATCCTTAGCACCACTGGAGGCTTAGCTGCACAGGCTGGTATAAAGAAGACTGAAAAAGCCAAGTGATAGATGATTTGATAGTTAGGGGAACAGAAAAATGTTTCTGAGCCACAGATGTGATAGTGTGTTGCTTCTCTGGTGCTGAAGTGAAGGATGTCACTAAGTAATTGTAGAGCACCCTGAGGGGGGAGGATGAACAACCAACAGCCAGACTCCATGCTGGAATCAATGACATGAGTCGTCCCACAGTCTGAACATAGGGAGCTAGGTAGAAAATTAGTAAGTAGGAACTCAAAAGGTAATAATTGTACATTAGTCCCAGTGCTATCTGCAAATGAGTATAGAACTAGGATAAGACAGACGAATGCATACCTGTAAAGGTGGTGCATAAGGAAGGGCTTTAGATTCTTGGAATGTTGAAATTAGCTCTGGGAAACATGGAACTTGTAAAGCTGGATTCTTTGCACCTGAACAGAGCCGGGACTGAATTCCTTCCAGGATATTTTGCTAGTACTATTGGAGAGGGTATCAGAGAGGAATACTATAGTGCACAAAGCATTGGGAAAGATAGATAGTGGTCAGAGTAAATAGAGAGGAAATGTTTCTCACATGAAATGATTGAGAAAGCGATGGCACGGGTTTACAGCAATTAATAAAAGAAGTGAAAATGATATGAGGAAGAACCATGTTACATAGCAAATAATTAGATTCTGGAATATGCTGCCTAAGAGTCTGATAGAGGCAGATTCAATTGGGAATGTTAGATGGTTATTTGAAAAGGAAGAATGAGCAGGAAGAGAAAGCAAGTGAATGGTACTAGGTGAGATGCTCATTGGAAGAGCTGGTGCAGACTGTTAAGCTGAATGACCCCTGCACTAATTAATGGAAGCCCCAAGATGATGATAGGTGGGGTGTCAGCAACGGTGGTACCATAAAGACGTGAATACTTGAACGGCAAGGAGAAATATCTGGATTCCTCCTTGTTGGAGACGATCATTGCTTGGCACCTGTGGGCCACTAATTTCACTTGGCAGTTATCAGCCTACACCCAAGCCTGAATGTTATTCAGCTCTTGCCGTGTGAGAGTATGGACTGTTCAGTACGCGGGCACTTATTAATGGTACTGAGCACTTCATCCCTGTCTCAGCTGATCTACTGAAATCCTTATCCCTGTCTTTTGTTACCGCTAGGCTCAGCAATTCCAATACACTTCTCGCTGTTTTCCCATATTCTACCCTCTGTAAAGTTGTGGTCATCCAATGTTCTGCAGGTTGTGTCTTAACTCTCACTAAAGTCAGTGCCCTATTACTGCTGTTTTCTCTGATGCTTTGACTTTAAAATGTTTTGAATTCTGATTTTGCAAGTGAGTTTGACCAGTTGGCATTCATTTGCTGAATTCAAGTTCTTCATGTAAATTAGAAACTATTGCCATCTGAGCATAGATCGCTGTGCATGTCATCAGACCCTCACTCTCTTCCATTGCTAGCCAAACAACTGTAGCTTATACCCCTAACAAATCCTATTCATCACCCTCATGTATTACTTTAAATCCTTATCACTCTATGTTCAAATAGCAGCTTTATCAATATAGTATATTGCACATGTATTGTTCCATATGATAACCTCTTAGAAACTTAAATGTGTCTATTTGACATTGATGTGGGTCTGCCCCACATAACTCATTCCTGGTAACCTACTGGATTATCTTACCACATGACTTGGAATTGCAATTATAATTAAACAGGTTAGAATGCTTCAAAATACTTCAAGACAATGGCTGTCCAATGGGCACTAAATTGGGATTTATGATTTTGTACTTAAGGTTAACTTCTTCAGAATTTAACAGAAAAACAAAGATTATCCTTGATAATCCTTGATTCTCCTACTGATCAAGAATTTAAATATGCACAAGGACTCTGCCCCACAACACTCTGTAGCAAGGAGTTTCAAAGACTCACAACCCTCTGACAGAAGAAATTCCTCCTCATCTCAGTACCCCTTTATTCTGAGACAATGCCTTCTGGTCCTGGACGCTCCCATGAGGGGAAACATCCCCTCAGCATTTACCCTGTCAAACCCCTTAAGAATGTTTCAATGAGATCACTTCTCATTCCTCTAAATTCAAGTGAGTGGAGTTCCAACCTGTTCAACTTTGGAATCTTCTATGTATTGAACCTCATCTAACACCTATCCACCCTCTTCACCAACTTGTCAGTGTCCTTTTGGAGTTCAACACTGTCCTCAGTTTATAGTTCTTCAAAGTATTGTGTCATGTGTAAACTTTGACATTATCCCCTGCATACCAAGATCCAGATCATTAATATACATCAGGAAAAGAAAGGGTTCCGATGCTGATCCCTGGGGCACTCTCCACTACAAATCATCCATCAGCCCTTAAACTACCCATTGACCATTATTTTCTTCTTATTTTATGTTCAGGTTGCTGCTGTTCCTTTTACACCATAATGTATAACTTGTCTTGCAGGTCTTTGTATGGTAAAGAGGAAGTTTCTTTCTCTGAAACACATTGGTGAATAAGTTGGGTTCTTATGACCTCTGTTGTTTTCTGGTGCTTGCCCACAAATTGACATTGATTTTAGAATATAACTTGCTATGGTACGATTTGAACTTTTGAGCCTGAAGTTGGTCGTACAGGCTACCAAAAACCATAGCACACTTTAGATGCCATATGTGTTAGTTCAGATATTGGTGTATTGACTTTCAAAAAGTGTAAAAATAACTAACAACATCTTTAATTGTTTTATTCTTCTGTATCGTGTAGGTAAATCTCTCAAAGACATGGAACAACCTTTGTCCGTTCTTGGTGTTAAAAATGGCTGTAAAATAATGATGATTGGCAAAAAGGTAAAATTGTATAACTTTTCTGTCAAAGAATTTTTACAGTAACTTGTCTAAAATATTGTTTTGTGCTTTCTAGGCATTATTTATATATTCCTTTCTTTAAAAAAACGTACTATTTGCTTGATTTTTTTTTTTCCTTCGTTCGTCCAGTTTTCCTCAGCCATGCACTGTTTCCTTTGTCATCAGAACTGACAAGTTGCCTGTTCTAAGTAAGGTACATGAGAGTAATCTAAGTGATCTGGCCTATTGCATCATCCCTCTTGTGTAGGGAAATACCCAGTTTATGCTTTGTATTTTGACTGTTCAACTCTCATATCTGTCTCTCTGAATAAATACAGCA